ACATTCCAGCTGTCCTCAATGTCCAAATGTTCATTCATTCATATTTATGGGGCCATAACAGAGACAGAAAGGTAGCCTGGTTCATGAGAACTTGCTGAACTCGATGTAGCACTTAACTGGCTTTAGAGTTAAATAGTTTGGTGTTGTACTTGACCGCTTTCTACCCAGAACAATTTACAATTTCACACAGTCTTCACAGTGAATCACTGTGAAAATCCCATTGAGGCTAGCGGCCTCTTTTTCAAGGGGGCCCCCGTGGACCAGCTGATAGATCTAATCCACGCAGCTGGCCATGTGCAGCACTGATCTCAGTGGGAGCACATCAAAAAATGAAAAGCAACTCTGTGATGCTCACGTATGTTCACAGCATGTAGAAATAATCCTGGCTATCTCGAACTGACCAAGATACTTCTTACTGATCCTAATCAACCCTGACCTTGTCCTTAAGTGCACTCCATACTGTAACAGTTTGATGAATTGTGGGTGATCTCTCAGCATGTCTTGTCTCTATCCTGTAACCAGAGTCTCTGCTAATGTCGGACAAGGCTAAATTATTACTGTATGTGAAAATACAGCCTGCATTTCAAAGAGGTGCTCCAATAAACAGGTGTGTCTCACTGGACGTGCTATAAATGTATCACTCTGCTTGGCCATTTCACTTTTCTCATGTCAGGTCACTTGTCTGCCCACAGAATTGAATCACAAGCAAAATAGAAAGCTAAACTCAATGTACAGTATTTTCTGAGTGTGTTTGATTGTTTGGTTTCATTCTATGTATGCAAGCCATTACCGACAAAGAATGTGAGCCATCAACACAAAAAAAGATTGGAAGTGAGAATTTAAAGCCTGTAATGTGAAAGTAGCCTTTGATGAATACATTTCAGCAGATAAATGAATGATTATAGCTGCTATGGGAGACTGGTGGTGTAAAATCATCTTGAAATTAAAAAGCATTCATCCTTCTAATGAACTAGTCCAGGCTTGGCTCCATTAATTGCTAAATAAACAAGATTTAGCTGGATATTGTCATAAATTTAGATGATTAATTTCACAGCACGGGCCTTTAAATAGATTATCTAATGGCTTCCCTTTGCTGTATTTATACAGGCCAGCTGAACATCATGCAATCTGAGAAGTGGCTCACACAGATGTGTGTAGTGCAGTGCAGCGGCCCAAGCAGACCTGAGTTCACATGTCAGGCACACTCCATCATACCCACCCTTGGGATTTAAGAACATTTACGGTGGGGCTGTGAGCTGAAGTGACATTCAGACTTCTTTGAGCAGCAGCACAAAGATGAATATAGCTGGTAATGTGTGAAAGAATTAAATTGGGATATTTGAGATCGTGTTCAGAATCAACCTACGGCTCTTCTTGCTGTATTATACTCCCAAGTGGGTGTCAGCGTGCAACTGTTTGTATGTAAGTGTTGGTGCATCCCCAGGCCTTTGCTGTGGTCTCCCTATGGCTTCTAGTTCTGGCATTTCAACTGTGGTCTACTTTATATAGTCCCTGTGTTGTTTATTGAGACCGAGAGCCGACGCCAGGCTTGATACCTTTGCAGATTCTCTTGCCAGAAGAACTTTTATGATGAAATGCGAGGCAGGAGTGCGACGAGCGGACAAACAGCAAAGCTGTTTTCTTTAAGCCTCAGTTTTACTATGCTAACCAGTGGCCAGAATCCACATTTGACTGCCATTGTAAGCGAAGTAGTCCAGAAGCAAGAGTGTGAGTTTATGTATATATGTGTGTGTGCATGCTTGTAGTTTTAGTTTCAGGAATATACATGTGATGTGTGTGTGTAGAATACAGTGACATATAAACATGCACTTTAGATTACTTATGTATTCATGTCTTGAAAGTACAATATCATTTTTTTTTTTATTAAATGGTGCTGAGTGAGATGCTGGAAAGCTTAGGTGGGGTTTGGGGAGGGGGAGGTTATATACTGTAGATACATTTTTATTTCATCTTTTCAGAGGGACACCTCAGTGCAATTTTGAACTGGGCTAAACTGAACAGCAGTGGGCCCCTCTCTCTCCTTCACCTTTCTGTCTCTTCCTTTATTTTTTCTTTCTTTGTTTCTTCCTTTCACGCAGTAAACAAATGCTGTGATTACAGAACTGAATGTAGTCCCTAGTATCCAGGTACATGGGTAGTATGAGCACCCTGGTTGTCTTTGAGAACACAGGAGTTCTGCTTTGAGTGTTATCTTTATCATATGGAAGTGCAGCCCCACACAGAAACACTACAACGTCACGGTTGGAAAATGTGGGCCTGTCCCAAAGACAACCTGGCTTGAGGACTTGAAAAATTTCTCAAGCTGACACCTCAGTTTTTCTCACCACAGGACCCACACCTTTAAATGGCAATAGGAAAACTCCTGGAGTGTTAGGAGCATGGCTGGAGGGATGGAGTTTTGAAAAAGAGGTAGAAGTGTCTAGGTGAGAGAGAGGTGTTGCTAGAAGATGACAGTGAAGGGGGGATTGGAGAGGAAATTGAAGAAGAAGGGCTACTCACCTACCTTGCCTTGTTAGCTGTCTATTATCTCAGCATGTATGCTAGCTGATAAAGACATAAAGCATTGCCTGTAGCAGATGTGCTGATGGAGAGGGAGTTTAAACCACTGGAGGAGCAATATGTCAGCGGTGGTAATATGTGCAAGCCAGATGATTTGTTAAGAATTCCCATCATGTCTGTCCGCTGTCTTTTTATTCATCTCTCCCCTAGATTTCACACTTCCCCTCCCCATCTGCCCCCTCTTTATTATCCAGCTCTGTGTTTTTCCACATACTGTGTCTGGCAGCAATGAGTGCGTTAAGAGGGTAATAGCAGGGTGTCTGACCAGTACTACCGCAGCTTAGTGAGCCAGTATAGGTGAGACAGCAGAGATTTCCTGTCAGGCCTCTCTGCTACATTCTTGCTAAATTGCTTCTTGCCAGGTGGGGTTGGAAAGGAGGAGGTTTTTCTTTCTCCCTTTCATACACACTATGACACACACATATGCATGCACACGATTATGTAGCAACACATGGGCATCAGCACATGATAATGTGCAGTCACTGACATGCCATACGTACAAAGGATTAGTGGTGTCTGGTGTGTGTGTGCCAGTGTGGAGAGCGGAAGACAGAGCAGGGCTCAGTATTAGACTCTGGTTGTCTGCCAGAGTAGCAATATGAGAGAATGCTTCATCATCTTACACCTGGTGGTCCTGGACTGCTTCTGTCTGTAGCTTGCATTGTGACCTCTCATTTTACACGTACATACACATAAAGGCAGCTTGGAACAAACTGTGGCCCAGCAACACCATACCCCTCAGTTGTGTTCATAGTACATTTATTGTGTTATTTGCTACTTCAGTAGTTATTAGTTATCTACTGTAGAGTTTTAATTTCTAAAATGTCTCCAGTCTTGCAGCTAATTGCTTCCCTTTGTCAGTGTTCTCATATTTTATATGCTTTGTATATTTTAAACTTTAAAGCTCAAAGCAAATATAAATGCTGACCGGGGCTTTTGTGTGTGGGGTCTGCAGGTTCTCCCCATGTCTGTGTGAGTTTTGTCTGGGTACATTCTGATCACATCCAGGTCAGGTTGACTGGGCACTCTAAATGGTAGGGATGGGGCAATATATCAAAATTCAATATATCTTGATACAAAAATGTCACTATGTATAATGTTGTCTAGCGATAGATATTGTGCGGTCTCATATATCAGAGACATCACATTTTTTGTAAATAACAGAATGCAAGTCAATATATATCTGGTTGTTCTTTACATAAACAAACCAGTGCTAGAAATAGGGGATAAAGAGGAATAAAATACAAGTATTCTACAGCTAGTCATACATTGTCATTGAATTTTTAATTGTATCGTGATTGAATTGAATAGTATGTGTCCTATTGCACTGAGAAAAAGTCACATTGTCCTATCCCTACTAAATTATGGGAATGTGAATGGTTGTCTATGTTTCAGACATATGTTAGACTGGTGACATGAATGGATGGACCTTGTCTCTCACCCAGTGTCAGCTGTGTGATAGATGAGCTGGGTGAAAGATTGGGATTGGTTCCAACCACTCCTCCTCTCCTCCAGGATGAGTGGTATAGATAATGGGTAGATGGAAATATAAATGCAAAAATTTTGTGTTATAGAGAAAAAGTGCAATATTTTCCTCAAATATTTTCATGAAGATAAATATTCAAAGTACCTCCGAAGTGTACTTACTATAGGTACAGTACTTGATAAGTATACTTTAGTTATTTTCCACCCGTGGCCCCAGAACACTCATCACTTAATGATTTTCCTGTACCCTGTGAAACTTTTGAGATGAGCTGAAGAGAACAAAAGAGCCTGTGCTTTAAGTGTTTTCACACATCCCCAAGTAAAACTCACTGCTTCAGAACACTGAGATATTTCCAGTAAGAAGATCTGGAACGAGCTTAGATATCACTCATCTCACTGCATACTGCCAGATGCAGAGGACATGAATGAGCGAGTGTGAAATGTGTGAGCAGTTTGATCTGTGGTAGTGTTGACCCAATCATACAACACTCGGTAACAAATGATGGGGCGGGCTCCAGGGCTCCTTCGCTCTCATGCATACTTTTCCTGCATCAGTCCACAGTGGCTCATAGTATGGACATTAGGTCAAAGCTGAAGTTTTACTACTTCCAAATTTCAACAAGTAAATGTGTTGAGACATGTCATTTTCAGTGCCGAATAATAACTTATGGTCCACCTGACTGGGAACTGGAAAAATCATAATTTTCAAACAAGTCTGCCTAGTTTAATCTAATAAAAAGCTACTTGCAACCTGCTGCTTGTCTGTCCATCTGCCTGAATGACTAAACTGTATGAATTATCAGCCACACTGCCACTTATTCCCCTTTTCTTTACCTGTCTATTACTACACAGTAAGTGTTTGCATTATAGAGCAGCTTTGTTGCAGTCTCTGTCTGGTTGACTCCTATTGGTCTGTGTGTTCATGTCCATTCTAGGTAGATGCTCTGCGTGTACGTCTGGAGGAAAAGGAGCAGTTTCTGACCAAGAAGACCAAGCAGCTGCAGGATCTGACTGATGAAAAGAGCACATTAACAGGAGAGATCAGAGACATGAAGGACATGCTTGATGTCAAAGAGAGGAAGATTAATGTCCTGCAGAAGAAGGTACATAAATCCAACATCATACAGTAGTGCTGCATGCAGTGTTGCCATACCTAAAATACACATCAAAAAATACATTTTTAAGTTAGTTTGCATTCAAAGGCTCACAAAGAAGAACATCTTATTAAAGCTGTACTGATTAGTATTTTTAAATATCACTTCCTCAGCTGTCCCTGTGGCCAAAAATCAACTAATGCTGCTTTAATAAAGTTAGTGAGTGCTGATTATAGCTAGCATTTGAGTTGGTAATACTTTTTCATCTTTTGAGTACTTTAATCACTCTACATTTTCCATGTAAAACTATTGCTTGCTGTATGAAAACACCTTTGTAGGAAAACAAAGAAGTGTTTATTTGATCAGTGACTGGTTTGTTGACTGAAGTTAATTCTATGTCCTCTTTCTGACTACATGAATATGCCACTGGCCTTGTGAATACAGTAGATGGTGAGCGTGTTAATACAGTATACACACACACCTATACATGTTGTGTGTGTGTGTGTATACACACTCTCACGGCATGTCTCAAGGGCCTTAATGAGTTTTATAAGGCTTGCCATTTAGACAGGGCCTGTGGCCACCTGTGGTGTGCATGTTGGCAGTTCCTCTATAGACTAATTACACACAAAGCTCCCTCTCAGCTTCCTTGTTTCTTCTCATGTCCTTAAATTAGATCTCCCTCTCTCAACACCCACCGATCCCCATGCTGAATTTAATGGAATAGGCCTTCAAAGGTGACAAGCAGTGCCATCAATCTGTGTGTGTACATGTAAGAACATGGTCAAATGCATTTTTATTATTATGTGACCTCCAGATGTTTCTGTGGGAGTCATGTAAAGACGATCTTCATATGCACCCTATATTGTGCTTGACTCCTTTGGGTACCACCTATAGCTCTTTATTTGAGGCACACTTGTTTGTAGATTATATACAGGGTCCCTTACTTTCTGACATTTCTGCTGTTTTGATTATTCAATTTAGTTGTGCAGTTGCACTATTAATTGCAATTATGTGTGAAAGAAAGCTGCCATTGGTGTGAATGGGCAAATAATAAGCACTGTGAGTGCATAGAAAAGTGCTACAGAAGTACAAGTCCTTTTACCATTCATCTTTGGATGATGATTGTTCTGCCTGTCAGTGTGTTGACAACCGGCATGTCCCCTGCCAGTTTTTGTTCCTTCATTTGTGTTATTTCATCTGTCTCTGCACAGAAAACCTTCCTGTTTCCATGTATCCCTGTGTTTCTCTTTTCTCAGCACATCATACAGTTACATACAGTTACTCTCAATCTTTAATGCCTTGCAGTAAGTGGGCTATAACATTTAAAATATATTTCTTTAATAATTTGACCCTACATTTACGTACGTTAATGAAAAATGAGCGGAAAATCAAGTGATATTTGAATGAAGAAGCGGGCCAAGTATTTTACACTGTGAACCAACAGGTGTTTCATTCCATTAGCCACACTGTATACACAGACCACAATCTGATTGGTTTTCCACACTTCCTATTTCCCAGCAGTCCCAAAGGGCTATAACTTACAGTGCAGTGTCCCAAGGGAAAGGCAGGAGTGGAGCTGCGAGTCAAAGCTAGTTTCCTTTCTGGGCTTCATACTGTATGAGTTACTGCTGGCTTATTCTAAAATGCACTGACAAGCTCTGTGTGTGTTTGAAGTCTTTGCAGGCAGCATGAAGTTCTTCACAGACATAAATTAAAATGCCAGGGATGTATTTCCTCACAAAAGAGTGATTTTGTCTTCTTCAGCCATGACGCTGATCTTACATGCAGCAAATCAAATGTGTTGAAGCTGCCCTGAATATAATAGTTCAAATTAGGTTTGCTTTTCTCAAATTTTGGCATCATCTTTGTATTTGCTGTCACCCAGAGTTCAGGTGTCTCAAATGGACACGTTCATGAATCATTATGACATATTTAAATGCTCATGGAAGTGTACTACGTATTCTGTGCACCCTAGTCCAAACATGTTAATCTTCCCTAACTTTGGCTGCTTTCACTTTTTTTTTGAATTCATGTGGAAGCTGAGACAGTTTTTCTCCACTCACTTTCTGAAAAGCACTCAGATGTAGTACAGCTTTGTGAGGAAAATCAAACTAGACAGTTAATGTATCTTTGTGTTATTGGCAAGTGTACATCTGTTTCAGCAGTCAGGCAATCCTTTAGTTTAATATAAAGAAAAAAAAAACATGCTGTTTCTGCATGAATTATAATATACAATCACATCTCCCAGTTGTTGTGAAGACATTTATTATGATTTCAGACAGTTATTTGGTCACAGTATTCCGATGTCCTCAATATAAATGATAAGATTACAGAAAAAAAAATCTTTAATGTTTTTGCTTAGTTTTCTCAAATTTTCAGGGTTTCTTTTAAAACGAAATATAGTTTGGGCTTCTCCAACCAGAGATGATGGTGAGATACAGATAGAGACTCGTTCAAAACTGAGAGCTGATGATTATTTATTTATTTAAAAAGTCATACCACAACAAGACACTGTTCACCTCTTTTTAATCTTCAGTCACAAAATTTAGATTGATGTACCAGGAACAAACTCTTTATTCCAGATGCTGTCAACAGTTTTCATAGGGACACTTTCTTCAATATGTTAGGCTGAAAACCATTATAAAGCCTTATCCGGTTCTTTCAAACCAGGAACTCCGAGGGACGACTCAGACCACTTGAGTATATAAAAAATATAACCGTGCTGGTTTATTCAAAGAGTCACAGGCAAGAATTCACACTTCCAGTCCAGAGATCTTCCAACCCCCAGCCTGCCAAAGCAGCCCGGAAAACAAAAAAAAAAGACCCCGAACCAAGCATTGCTATACAATATTAATCCTTTCTGGGCTGTCGAACCGTGACGTCACCTGATATGTCAGCTTGGCAGCTGAGCAGAGCAGTAGACAAAACATGAAGAAAATAATGTGTGTGGCTGTTGTTTTCGTGGTGTGTATCTAAAACAATTTGACATAACATTACACATTAAGACAAATATTATGATTACTTTTACCGTCATAATAACATTCGTCCCTGACTGCCGCTTTTCTCTGCTTTTAACTAACCTTGCATTTAACAGCCTGAGGAAGACATCCTGGCTGCACTAACATTCCTAGACAACAAATCTCTGAATATCTATCTAACTAAAAAATAACCTAACAAATAGCAGTTGTTATAATAAAAACTGTTCATAGTGAGATGGATTTTAAGCAAGACATTGTTTCTGGAACGGGATATTGCTGTAGATTTTTTTTTTATGCTGGGAACACCACAAATTAAATCCTGCTCAGCTTCACTGCATTTTAATGGTGCCCGAAAACTAAAACTAATGTTTGTGCTTGAGTGAACCAACCCTGTAATGTGTTATGTCTCACTGTGGAATGGTAATATTTCTAAAAAGAAACATGCTGTTTTGGCGACACTGTCTAAATGGAATTCAAATCTTAAATCTGAGTCCAAAATACTGTAGTATCTGGGATTGTTAGCTACAGTTTAGGGTGCTACATACTCTTTTCCATTACAACATAAATCTCTTGATAACTCTGTATACCATGAAGCCACACTGTGTACTCTTCACTTTCTCTGTCCAATGTTTCCCGAGTTTCCAGTTTTCTAGCAGTCTTGGAGGCCTATAACTTAGAGATCTGTATACAAAGGGAAAGACAGGAGTGTAGCTTCGAATCATAACTAACTTCTAAGGCAGGATTAAGCTTTTCCCTGAAACTGTGTATCTGAATATCTAGGGTCCATTTTCCACCATCAAAGGGGGACTTATTTGATAACAACAACAAAAAAAATCATTGGAAATACAACACCAGATTACATGGAACGATAAAAGCAGGGTAAATTAGTTAACCACTGAAACATATAGACAAAAATGACTACTGAACGTCAGAGGAGCTAGGGCTGGGAAAAGATAAAGGAAGCAGCTAGAGTCCATACACAGATTGTTTGGCAGACAGAAAACTGGAGGCAGGTTTCTGACCAGTGAGTCAGAACCTGACCACAGGCTTCTGGCCACTGACTCTAACCTGCTCGCCTGCAGGTTTTCTTCAACAAACCCAGTCTCTGCCTCCTGTCTCATGTCGAGTCTACAGAGACTATCTGACATGCTCTCTCATTTCCTCATTCCTTATTAAAGCATGCATTGGAGCAAAATTATTTTCAGAAGTTTACATCAGGAGAACATCAAAAATACAGACTGGACATTAGCCTCAGTTTTTGACCAGGCCTGTTTTTACTAATGGTACTGGTTTTATGATGCTGATGTCTTGACTGAAGCTCCATCACTGCTGTGTTTTTAAACATAAATATGCATTATCACATACTATTTGCAGCTCTGTTGGATTAAAATGACAGCTCTGCTATTGACATACCTGTTGCTTTGGTGAATCATAGTATTGGAGCTTTATTTAACTACTTTTTGCATACTGTAGCAACTAAAAGCATGATTCTTTTGTTTTCACTCACTTTTAACACAACAGGCTCTACCACATTTCTGTGAAGGTGTCACGAGAGTAGTTGATGTAGATACAAATGAGAGTACTTTAGTAAAACCACACTTTCATCTGTTAGACTTCTTTGGCTTTTAAGTTTAAGGGTCTGATGCCCTGATCTGAGTTTGAAGTGTGGCCCTTCAGAATGGTAAAATGTCTCTGTTTAATACAGCAAGTGATACTTTACATTTGGGTTAAATTTCTCCCAGGCTGATGGGACACATGAGACACAGGTAGACCAATGCTAAGCAAATAATGACTCTTCTTGAAATTATAGTAGTACAACACTGCAGAGACTGCCTCAGAATGCAGTACTGTATATATCACACATTGGTGACATTTTTTCTCTTTTCGTACGGGCCTCTCCATGAACAGTCCCCAAGACTTCTAGCATAGTAGCCTGATGTTATTGCTGTAGTTTGAACCCTATATTGATCTTAATAGTTAACGACAGAATCTCAGTAAAAATAATGAGGAACTGGTCTTTAGCTGCAA